GTGTGTGCAATACATCAGTGTGAAAGAGCATGTTTAATGCAAATCTGTATATTTGTATGTTCGCATTGCGACTGCAGAAGATTATACAAGTACACACTTTTACCCCTATCTGACCTATCGATTGTTGCCACTCATCTGAGCTAGACGGAAGTATCGCAAGAGTGAGAGAGAGAGAGAGAGCTTAAGAAAATTAGTAGGTGTTGCTTCCGAGAAGCATTGAGAATGCTAGGTTGCTTTGGTGTGTTAATTTATGCTCGTTATTTTCGATCTGCGGTCGGGCTGTTTCACACCTGCAACATCACTCCTTCCCCAGCCAGTAAAATTGATTGATTTGTTGGTTGATTATAAACCTGGTCAACTTAAACTGATTCAAAACTGTTTAGCGTAGTCACTCTTCATCCGCACTTCGTCATTCTTGAGGTGTAATTCAGTGACTCGATTCCAACGGCTACCTTAATCGGTTCGGTTCATGCTTTCGTCGTAGTTATGTCCAAAATACCTGGCAAATGTAGACCGTAGCTAAAACTGTACCCTTATCATCTCTACGGAAACTCGGTGTTCTTGATTGGTGTTCCTGCGTACATGCGAACAAAATATACAAATTGTATGATCGAAGCGGGCTGCTGCAAATTTTTATTAGACTCTTTTTTGTCAGACTATCCTCAAATCCCTATCATCGAGTATGTCTCTTGTTCTTAAACTTTTTCTTCAGTCATCATGTATCATGATGTAATTGGCTGCGATTTGCACCATTACTTCCTTCATCATTGCATCACATTCGTAAACATGTTTATCGTCTTCGTCACGCTTATCATTATGGCAAAATAAATAGCAACCTTTTATATTTGTCTGTTTTTAATATCTGCGCTATGAACATAGCTGGTTGCCGCTAATTTTCATTCGATTCTTGTCCGACTATGTAGAATGCGGTGACCGAACTTTGCTTTTGCTGAAGCACCTACTTAAGCTTTTGATCAATCGCCGCAGCACACAACTGGTTATAGTTATCGGCACCACCCTCAGCATCATTTTTCGTTGTCGCTTGCAAATTTCAGTTTGTATTATTACTATTATGGCAGTCATCGTTATGGTCGTTAGGAATAGTATTAAATAAATTGTTCCATTTCCTCTGTCCTTCCAAGTATATTGCGTAACCTAAACATGATTTGTCGATCACTGTTCTAATGCAGTCAGGTGATCCTGCATGCATGTACATTTTTCATGAACTGGATGTGGACTTATGAATCGCCAATGATATAACTATCCGGTTCAGTCATCGTCATTTGCATCATTAGCAACATCGTCATGTTCTGTATTGAGCCAAGAAAGTAGTTGGTCGATTTTTCTGCTAGTTGATTTCCCAACTGTATTGCTTGAACGAAACCAGTTGCGGTCATTCATGAGTGGAATCTTTTGCATCATCTTCAATCCAAAATGTTATATTTTAACGCGATGTCCTTTTTGGTTTATCTTGCTTTCTCTCATGCTTTTTCAAACTGTTAATTGTGGATCAAGGCGAAGTATACTTAAATTGGTCTCCTACCGTTTGCCAAAGTAAGAAATTCGGTCTTCTACTTCTTGTACGAAATCGCTGTTTTTTGGCCCTGTCGTTTGCCCCCTCCCTTTCAACATAAAATTTTATATAATTTTTTTTTTAAAATGTTCGACGTTTTTCGTGGTTAAGATTACCTGTCTTCCAGGCGGTGGGCAAAATTTTCTACCGGCTGACAATGACTCGCTTTTCCTAGTCATTTGCTTCGCTCGACTGCTGTCGCTTGCTTCACTTTCATTTTGTTTACCCACCCGAAACCGACATGCACCGCTGCCGCTGTCTATGTTGATTCTAGTTGTTTATTTTTGCGTTCCGATGCGGCTATTGATCGCTTGTCTCACTTGATTTGACCAGGTGATGCTGACTGAAGGTGTTCTGGTTTT